AGAAACTCATTGTCCCAAGTGACTAAAGTCAAATGGTGCAGGTTAGACGAGTTGAGTAACGGGTGTCGGGTGTTCTTTTGAAAAAAGGACATGTATTTTGCCAAAGTTGTGGTTGTGGAAACTAGAGCCTCCAATTTTTGGAAACGAAACCGGCGCAACAGTGCATTGAAAATGACGCGTGCTGTAAGTTCACAGCATGCGTGTGTGTGTGTGGAACATCTGAATAGATGTAAAAACTTCTAACTGTCGACGTTCAAGTTTTGACGGATGTTTTTATTTTCACAGCAGGGGAGTGGAGAAGGCTTGCGGAGCTCCACTTGACAAAGCTCTCTGCAGTGTCCTAAGATATCACTGGAGACATCCAGTAACGTACCTGCTCGGTTGTGATCACCTGTTGTTCAGGGCCTGCTTCCATTTTCATTAAGCCCAGAACCGGCAAGACCATTCATTTCTTTTCTTTACTGCACTATTGTCGCAATCTGCCAAGGTGGGAATGATTTAGCTTTATTGAAAGGGAAGGGTCAGCTTCCAACTCTTTTTATCTAGCACTGGCTATGGCGATGGTAGCTTCTCGATACTTTCTCGGGTCTTTTCACCGACCCATTCCTGTCAGGTGTAATTGGAGTGTTTTAGCACGTAAGATGCATTCCACAACCAAATTCGCAATGATTTTTCTGAACAAGTGTGTGTGTGTGCCTGTTTTCTTGGAAGAGGCGAGCAGGTTTGTGCAGGACACCTGTTTCTGGCAGATTGTTGAGATGAACGCTTCTTGTTTGGTTGTTTGTTGCCTTGTCCTTCTCAGCAATGCCTTGAATGCCCCGTTGCTTGGGATGGACATGCCGCGTGAGGACAGCTTGGCTCATTGCATGCTTCTATCCTGCGGCTGTTCCTTGTTTGCGCAAAGCTGGCTATGGATGTGAACAAGGTGCCAGATGTGACAATTTGCCGTCCAGATTCCTAAATTTTGCAACTTTGATTCAGAAGGCGCCTTTCCCGGTTGTGAATATCATCGCAGAAGAAATTGCCCGGCCACCGGCTTCCAGCGAGAAGGCAAAATCCAAAAAGCTGCAGGCGCCCACAGCAAGCACCTGGGTGCTTGAGAAAGAGCTTTCAGAGGTTAAGAAACTTGAAGGGAATTTCGACAACATGTAGCAAAGTGAAAAGCTGGTTCCGCTTGACGGTGTTCCACATCGGTGCCGAGATGCCAGATTTCGTGATCTACAGAGTGGCAGAGGTGCTGGATGCGCTGCTCATTGCGAGGATTGCCAAAATACAACACTGCTTTGACCGCCCTCTAGAATATCGCGGCTTTGCCATAGGCAATGTTCAGGGGTGCAAATAATCCAATTAAGTGCCAAGCTTTTTGCAAACAGATTTATTGGACATAACAGCAGAGAAAGGCTTGTTTGCAAACTCCTACTGGGCGTAATTTCTTCTGGTGCCCAATTTCATGTCCTTGTTCTTTTTGGCTGCTGCAGCTTAATTGTGTTGGTGGAGGAGGAGCAGCTAAGTCTTTGACCCACAACTGCACAGTAGAAGTTGCCTTGGTTGAACAAAGGATAAGCTTCCCAAGCCATGACGAATGTGCTCTTTATTCTTCTTTTGTGTCCTGTTTTCATTGCTGCCTTGCTTGAGCCTCGACTGCGGACTGGGGGCGAAAAGGCGTGCGCGTCATATGCACTGACGTCTATTCTGCGTGTGGGTTCTCGGACTTGCTTTTAGTTGGGGCGTCTCATCGTTGCAAACGTGGTAGAGGCAAGTGCAAGTGAGGAGGTGGGCGTGTGCTGGCGGGAAGCCTTTCTCGACGGCTCGATTTTCGAAGTGTGAGGCTATGCAAGGCTCAATCCAAACCTTGGTGCCCGACGTTTTGAAGAGCCACGAAGTTGATGAGGTTCTGTCATAACATTGCGTAACTGGAGTAATGTGCTCCATACTTGTATGAGGCAATATCCCATGCAAACATGAAAGCAGCGTTGGAAGCCCAGCAGCCTGATACAGATGCTGCAATTTGGTGCGCGCCGCTTCTGGCAGAATTGATTAGGGGTGCTCGTTACCTTGCGCTGTTGCACACCACAGCCTGCCGAATTTCACGCACCATTGGTTTGTGTTACAGAGAAAACGCATCGCAGGGTCCCTTGGTATCATTTTGCTTTGTGTGCCAGCCCCGAATCATGGAGCTTGAAGGGTGAATTTTGCCACGCCCCAAAGACCTACAAAGGGCCATGTGCAAGGATTGACATTCGCAAAAAAAGATTAATGTTAGAATGTGTGTATGTGTGTCTCGGTGTGGGCAGGACGCTGCAAGCAGGCCAGCTCACAGACGGCGAGAAAGCGAAATGGCAAGCAGCATGCTATGCACCTTGGTCTAGCATCTCTACGTTATTTTTTTGACTCCTGACAGCTTGGTTTTGGGAAGGCCATGTGCTGGTGCTTGTGACCATGACTTCGAAGTTTGCCCCGCCGGTACGGCCTGGGTTGGCTTTACACTCATCTTGGCTAATGATTTGTGTGCGAGCTCTCTTTGCACAGGTTGGGTTGCTGCTGGACGAGCAGGACTCTGCCAAAAGGTTGGCAACGAGCCGGCCCAGAAAACCAGCAGATGCGAAGGAAGGCGAGCGCAGAAATTTTCTTGCTTTTTTTTGGCGACTTGGCTTGTATGTGGTGGCTTTGGAGGTATGACGTTGCTGTGCTGTCCGTGCCTTGGCTGCAACAACTTGTTGGCGCTACTGTTTTGTACCGCGTTGTGAATTTCCTTGTGGCACATGTTGCATGATGCGCTAATTCTTGGGGTTCTTCCTCTGTGGACAAATATGACATGCTTGGGACAGACGATTTCGCAAGTTTTTGGGGGCACGAGGTCCTTTAGCAATTTTTCCCGCGGCTGCGTGAAAAGCTTCTTTGCCCCCTTTTGTGTCTCTCACCTTAATTCTGGCGGTGTTTAGATTGTTGCTGTGGCTGCTATCTGCCATGAATTCTTTTTTACAAAAATGTTGAACAGGACAAACAGGTCTGGCGTCCTAACAGTGTTTGCAACGCAATTTGGCTCCTACTCTGTCCTCATGCATACATACATCCATGTGAAAATAAATCGTCAGATGTCGATATTTCCAGAAATCGTAGTAGGGAACACAGGACTCCAAATAAGATATCGCAATCAATAATTGGATTGTAAAAGGATTGTCCCCGTAGAAAAAGAAGCATAAACAACAGAAAACATGTAGACATTGTGTGCTTCCTCGTGGATATTTTTCTGAGGTGGCTGAAAAGCAGGCGCTTGCAACATGGTTCTCTTGGAGCGAATACTGTGTACTAACATTCTTACCGTTTTTGCCAGCTGCTAATGGCACGGTGTGGGTCGGTGCCTTGCGCGCTTTGCAGCAGCATGTGGCCAGCAGCTTTGCCGCCGTGAGGCTTGAGTGGCCTTGCGCAGCTTCTTCTTCATCGTGCACAATGGACAGCAGCATTCAAATGATTTTTTCTTGTTCCAAGGTCCAAGGTGTATCCTTTGTGTCCAGGACTTGAGGCTGCAGTGCCCAGATAATTGGATCAAACGGGGTGGCCTGTGCGTTGCTGACCCGACCGCTGATTTGCCAGATGCTTCTTGCGATGTGCTGCCAGCCGTGCTTTCTGTGTATTGGTGCCCTGGGAAAAAGTTTTTGGCAGTTTGCCATCAATACAACGAGCTGGTCTCCACAGCAGAAAAAAGAATTTGCAAACCGTTGCCATGTGCAAACATAGAGAAGACAATCTTTGAAAAGGCATCTGGGTAGTGCAGCCTTGCTGCCAGGTGCTGTGGGGCGGATGCGGCCAGAATGCTGCAGATGAAAACGCCCAAGTGAAAACGAGGCAGGTGTCTGCTTGCGCTTTGAACATGTTAATTGAATAGCCTTAAGCAGCAACCCGGAAGGCGCAAAGTCAACCAAGCCGGCCCTGTAGACAATGATGGCTCCATCCTTGGCCAAGATGGAAGCGTACGCTTTCTTTCCGAAATCAAAAGGGACTTTGCAAGTCCAAGACTTTTGTTGTCTGGCCCTGTGGATGAACATGGTGACTTGAGGATGTGACATGCGCGCATATTCACACAGACACACGCAACACACGTCGGCCCATGAGCTTGTGTTGTGTTTCAGATTTGCTTCTTGCCCACTGGGAAGTGAAGCATTGTCATGTGAGGAAGGCCGCCTGGTCCACCCCTGGGGCATGCGTGAAACAATTCCTCCAGATTGCTGCGCCGAATTTTTTAACCAAGCCGCGATTAGCTAAAAGATTTGTAGCGTTTGTGCCGGGAAACTACAGGCAGGTCCAGTTACTTCCTGGGCCGAATTTACATGTCATATCACGCTTGTGGGGATGTTTGCAGTGTGCTCACATGTTTGAACCTTGTGTGTGTGTGTGTGTGCTAAGACTAGCAAGATATTGTCTTGGAGCGTGTGCCAGTCAGTGCTTGTGTCTCTCGGCGTTCTTACGAGTTTGATTTTCCTTCAATGTGCCGCCGGGTTCTGTAAGGCGAGAAATGCTAGCTGCTAGCTGATCTGTCTTGCACCTGCAGATCTTCAAGACCAGAGCCAAGCATTCAGTGCACTAAACTTTCGCTCAAGGCTTTTTTTGCTTGAACACTTTGCACCGAGTGCTGTGAAGCGTGAAAGAGAAAATTTAAAAGATATGGCAAAAAAAAGAAATGTTTAAAATAGTTTGCCCCGTTTGCAGACGCATGGAGAGGCATGCTCATGTACAAAGACCCAGTAGAGATTAAGAAGATTCTGTGCCGTCTGGCTTGCGTTCGCTGCCACCAATTCTTACCAAGTTCCGCAATTGACAACACTCTTACGACGTTCCTTGCACATACTCTTGTTAATTCCCGCGAAAACAAACCTATTCAGGTTTTTACTGCAACTAAAGCCAAGATGCCGCACTGTTGGCGTTTTGGAGCTTGGTTGCTGGTAACGCATTGCAGATGACCGCAATTTCAAAGCATTTTGTGTGTTTCATGGGCGAGCAAGGCGCGCGACCCGCAGTTCCAACACCAAAGCTTGCATTCCAGCTGGGAAGCACCTGCAGGTGAACCCACTGTGTTGTCATGAAGCTGTGTGGCTCTGTTCTTTGTGTGTTGCTGCTTGCCATTGTACGCCCTCTTGTTGGGGCACCAACAGACTATGCGAGTGTCCGCGCAGAAGTTGTCAAGGCTTATGCGCAACAAGCAGAAGAGATGGCGCGCGCGCTGGAGGTTCTGCAAGAAACAAGTGCAAGCACGTCTGCCGCTGCGCAGCAGATACAGAATGCTTGCACGGCTTGATGGCCCCCAACCCATGCTTGAGTGATTGTCGCCCGCCTCTTGTGAGGCGGCCCGTGCCAAGCACGAAGGCCAAAAGAATAGGCAAGGTTGGCGTGCAGGCTTTGAATTTCTTAGGCTGCAGCCGTTTTTGATGTTGTATGTGCTGCGAAGTCAAGTGTCTCAGGGCTAAGTTTTGGGCATGTTGACAAGCTTGCTTGTGGCTTGTGTTCCAATGCTTTTGGGGCTTCTAGCTTTATCGGTATTAGAGATATTGATACATGCTACCATAGGGTGGACGGGTTGTGTCCCCCCTGTGTGTGCAGAGTGTTTGGTTCCCAGCCTGTCTGTGGTCATAAGGGACCATGAAGTCACAACAATGGGGTGATGTGCAAGGGTTTTGTTCTGCCCAGCAACTGTATAGATGACCGGGGTTTACCAGCTTTTTGTGTGTTTCATGGGACCAAAAGTGTCAACAATGGGGTGATGTGCAAGGGTTTTTTGTTGCTGCCGAGCCACTGTATAGATGACCTGGGTTGCACAGCATTTTGTGTGTTTCATGGGCGAGCAAGGCGCACGACCCGCAGTTCCAACACCAAAGCTTGCATTCCAGCTGGGAAGCACCTGCAGGTGAACCCACTGTGTTGTCATGAAGCTGTGTGGCTCTGTTCTTTGTGTGTTGCTGCTTGCCGTTGTACGCGCTGTCGTTGGGGCACCAACAGACTACGCGAGTGTCCGCGCAGAAGTTGTCAAGGCTTATGCGCAACAAGCAGAAGAGATGGCGCGCGCGCTGGAGGTTCTGCAAGAAACAAGTGCAAGCACGTCTGCCGCTGCGCAGCAGATACAGAATGCTTGCACGGCTTGATGGCCCCAACCCATGCTTGAGTGATTGTCGCCCGCCTCTTGTGAGGCGGCCCGTGCCAAGCACGAAGGCCAAAAGAATAGGCAAGGTTGGCGTGCAGGCTTTGAATTTCTTAGGCTGCAGCCGTTTTTGATGTTGTATGTGCTGCGAAGTCAAGTGTCTCAGGGCTAAGTTTTGGGCATGTTGACAAGCTTGCTTGTGGCTTGTGTTCCAATGCTTTTGGGGCTTCTAGCTTTATCGGTATTAGAGATATTGATACATGCTACCATAGTGTGGACGGGTTGTGTCCCCCTGTGTGTGCAGAGTGTTTGGTTCCCAGCCTGTCTGTGGTCATAAGGGACCAAGGGTTTTGTTCTGCCCAGCAACTGTATAGATGACCGGGGTTTACCAGCTTTTTGTGTGTTTCATGGGACCAAAAGTGTCAACAATGGGGTGATGTGCAAGGGTTTTTGGTTGCTGCCGAGCCACTGTATAGATGACCTGGGTTGCACAGCATTTTGTGTGTTTCATGGGCGAGCAAGGCGCACGACCCGCAGTTCCAACACCAAAGCTTGCATTCCAGCTGGGAAGCACCTGCAGGTGATTCCACTGTGTTGTCATGAAGCTGTGTGGCTCTGTTCTTTGTGTGTTGCTGCTTGCCGTTGTACGCGCTGTCGTTGGGGCACCAACAGACTACGCGAGTGTCCGCGCAGAAGTTGTCAAGGCTTATGCGCAACAAGCAGAAGAGATGGCGCGCGCGCTGGAGGTTCTGCAAGAAACAAGTGCAAGCACGTCTGCCGCTGCGCAGCAGATACAGAATGCTTGCACGGCCTGATGGCCCCCAACCCATGCTTGAGTGATTGTCGCCCGCCTCTTGTGAGGCGGCCCGTGCCAAGCACGAAGGCCAAAAGAATAGGCAAGGTTGGCGTGCAGGCTTTGAATTTCTTAGGCTGCAGCCGTTTTTGATGTTTTATGTGCTGCGAAGTCAAGTGTCTCAGGGCTAAGTTTTGGGCATGTTGACAAGCTTGCTTGTGGCTTGTGTTCCAATGCTTTTGGGGCTTCTAGCTTTATCGGTATTAGAGATATTGATACATGCTACCATAGGGTGGACGGGTTGTGTCCCCCCGTGTGTGCAGAGTGTTTGGTTCCCAGCCTGTCTGTGGTCAATAGGGATGAAGTCACAACAATGGGGTGATGTGCAAGGGTTTTGTTCTGCCCAGCAACTGTATAGATGACCGGGTTTACCAGCTTTTTGTGTGTTTCATGGGACCAAAAGTGTCAACAATGGGGTGATGTGTAAGGGTTTTTGGTTGCTGCCGAGCCACTGTATAGATGACCTGGGTTGCACAGCATTTTGTGTGTTTCATGGGCGAGCAAGGCGCACGACCCGCAGTTCCAACACCAAAGCTTGCATTCCAGCTGGGAAGCACCTGCAGGTGAACCCACTGTGTTGTCATGAAGCTGTGTGGCTCTGTTCTTTGTGTGTTGCTGCTTGCCGTTGTACGCGCTGTCGTTGGGGCACCAACAGACTACGCGAGTGTCCGCGCAGAAGTTGTCAAGGCTTATGCGCAACAAGCAGAAGAGATGGCGCGCGCGCTGGAGGTTCTGCAAGAAACAAGTGCAAGCACGTCTGCCGCTGCGCAGCAGATACAGAATGCTTGCACGGCTTGATGGCCCCCAACCCATGCTTGAGTGATTGTCGCCCGCCTCTTGTGAGGCGGCCCGTGCCAAGCACGAAGGCCAAAAGAATAGGCAAGGTTGGCGTGCAGGCTTTGAATTTCTTAGGCTGCAGCCGTTTTTGATGTTGTATGTGCTGCGAAGTCAAGTGTCTCAGGGCTAAGTTTTGGGCATGTTGACAAGCTTGCTTGTGGCTTGTGTTCCAATGCTTTTGGGGCTTCTAGCTTTATCGGTATTAGAGAGATATTGATACATGCTACCATAGGGTGGACGGGTTGTGTCCCCCTGTGTGTGCAGAGTGTTTGGTTCCCAGCCTGTCTGTGGTCATAAGGGACCATGAAGTCACAACAATGGGGTGATGTGCAAGGGTTTTGTTCTGCCCAGCAACTGTATAGATGACCGGGGTTTACCAGCTTTTTGTGTGTTTCATGGGACCAAAAGTGTCAACAATGGGGTGATGTGCAAGGGTTTTTGGTTGCTGCCGAGCCACTGTATAGATGACCTGGGTTGCACAGCATTTTGTGTGTTTCATGGGCGAGCAAGGCGCACGACCCGCAGTTCCAACACCAAAGCTTGCATTCCAGCTGGGAAGCACCTGCAGGTGAACCCACTGTGTTGTCATGAAGCTGTGTGGCTCTGTTCTTTGTGTGTTGCTGCTTGCCGTTGTACGCGCTGTCGTTGGGGCACCAACAGACTACGCGAGTGTCCGCGCAGAAGTTGTCAAGGCTTATGCGCAACAAGCAGAAGAGATGGCGCGCGCGCTGGAGGTTCTGCAAGAAACAAGTGCAAGCACGTCTGCCGCTGCGCAGCAGATACAGAATGCTTGCACGGCTTGATGGCCCCCAACCCATGCTTGAGTGATTGTCGCCCGCCTCTTGTGAGGCGGCCCGTGCCAAGCACGAAGGCCAAAAGAATAGGCAAGGTTGGCGTGCAGGCTTTGAATTTCTTAGGCTGCAGCCGTTTTTGATGTTGTTGTGCTGCGAAGTCAAGTGTCTCAGGGCTAAGTTTTGGGCATGTTGACAAGCTTGCTTGTGGCTTGTGTTCCAATGCTTTTGGGGCTTCTAGCTTTATCGGTATTAGAGATATTGATACATGCTACCATAGGGTGGACGGGTTGTGTCCCCCCGTGTGTGCAGAGTGTTTGGTTCCCAGCCTGTCTGTGGTCATAAGGGACCATGAAGTCACAACAATGGGGTGATGTGCAAGGGTTTTGTTCTGCCCAGCAACTGTATAGATGACCGGGGTTTACCAGCTTTTTGTGTGTTTCATGGGACCAAAAGTGTCAACAATGGGGTGATGTGCAAGGGTTTTTTGTTGCTGCCGAGCCACTGTATAGATGACCTGGGTTGCACAGCATTTTGTGTGTTTCATGGGCGAGCAAGGCGCACGACCCGCAGTTCCAACACCAAAGCTTGCATTCCAGCTGGGAAGCACCTGCAGGTGATTCCACTGTGTTGTCATGAAGCTGTGTGGCTCTGTTCTTTGTGTGTTGCTGCTTGCCGTTGTACGCGCTGTCGTTGGGGCACCAACAGACTACGCGAGTGTCCGCGCAGAAGTTGTCAAGGCTTATGCGCAACAAGCAGAAGAGATGGCGCGCGCGCTGGAGGTTCTGCAAGAAACAAGTGCAAGCACGTCTGCCGCTGCGCAGCAGATACAGAATGCTTGCACGGCCTGATGGCCCGCAACCCATGCTTGAGTGATTGTCGCCCGCCTCTTGTGAGGCGGCCCGTGCCAAGCACGAAGGCCAAAAGAATAGGCAAGGTTGGTGTGCAGGCTTTGAATTTCTTAGGCTGCAGCCGTTTTTGATGTTTTATGTGCTGCGAAGTCAAGTGTCTCAGGGCTAAGTTTTGGGCATGTTGACAAGCTTGCTTGTGGCTTGTGTTCCAATGCTTTTGGGGCTTCTAGCTTTATCGGTATTGTATGAGAGATATTGATACATGCTACCATAGGGTGGACGGGTTGTGTCCCCCCGTGTGTGCAGAGTGTTTGGTTCCCAGCCTGTCTGTGGTCAATAGGACCATGAAATCACAACAATGGGGTGATGTGCAAGGGTTTTGTTCTGCCCAGCAACTGTATAGATGACCGGGGTTTACCAGCTTTTTGTGTGTTTCATGGGACCAAAAGTGTCAACAATGGGGTGATGTGCAAGGGTTTTTGGTTGCTGCCGAGCCACTGTATAGATGACCTGGGTTGCACAGCATTTTGTGTGTTTCATGGGCGAGCAAGGCGCGCGACCCGCAGTTCCAACACCAAAGCTTGCATTCCAGCTGGGAAGCACCTGCAGGTGAACCCACTGTGTTGTCATGAAGCTGTGTGGCTCTGTTCTTTGTGTGTTGCTGCTTGCCGTTGTACGCGCTGTCGTTGGGGCACCAACAGACTACGCGAGTGTCCGCGCAGAAGTTGTCAAGGCTTATGCGCAACAAGCAGAAGAGATGGCGCGCGCGCTGGAGGTTCTGCAAGAAACAAGTGCAAGCACGTCTGCCGCTGCGCAGCAGATACAGAATGCTTGCACGGCTTGATGGCCCCCAACCCATGCTTGAGTGATTGTCGCCCGCCTCTTGTGAGGCGGCCCGTGCCAAGCACGAAGGCCAAAAGAATAGGCAAGGTTGGCGTGCAGGCTTTGAATTTCTTAGGCTGCAGCCGTTTTTGATGTTGTTTGTGCTGCGAAGTCAGGTGTCTCAGGGCTAAGTTTTGGGCATGTTGACAAGCTTGCTTGTGGCTTGTGTTCCAATGTTTTTGAGGCTTCTAGCTTTATCGGTATTAGAGATATTGATACATGCTACCATAGGGTGGACGGGTTGTGTCCCCCCGTGTGTGCAGAGTGTTTGGTTCCCAGCCTGTCTGTGGTCATAAGGGACCATGAAGTCACAACAATGGGGTGATGTGCAAGGGTTTGGTTCTGCCCAGCAACTGTATAGATGACCGGGGTTTACCAGCTTTTTGTGTGTTTCATGGGACCAAAAGTGTCAACAATGGGGTGATGTGCAAGGGTTTTTGGTTGCTGCCGAGCCACTGTATAGATGACCTGGGTTGCACAGCATTTTGTGTGTTTCATGGGCGAGCAAGGCGCACGACCCGCAGTTCCAACACCAAAGCTTGCATTCCAGCTGGGAAGCACCTGCAGGTGGTTCCACTGTGTTGTCATGAAGCTGTGTGGCTCTGTTCTTTGTGTGTTGCTGCTTGCCGTTGTACGCGCTGTCGTTGGGGCACCAACAGACTACGCGAGTGTCCGCGCAGAAGTTGTCAAGGCTTATGCGCAACAAGCAGAAGAGATGGCGCGCGCGCTGGAGGTTCTGCAAGAAACAAGTGCAAGCACGTCTGCCGCTGCGCAGCAGATAACAGAATGCTTGCACGGCTTGATGGCCCCCAACCCATGCTTGAGTGATTGTCGCCCGCCTCTTGTGAGGCGGCGCGCGCCAAGCACGAAGGCCAAAAGAATAGGCAAGGTTGGCGTGCAGGCTTTGAATTTCTTAGGCTGCAGCCGTTTTTGATGTTGTATGTGCTGCGAAGTCAAGTGTCTCAGGGCTAAGTTTTGGGCATGTTGACAAGCTTGCTTGTGGCTTGTGTTCCAATGCTTTTGGGGCTTCTAGCTTTATCGGTATTAGAGATATTGATACATGCTACCATAGTGTGGACGGGTTGTGACCCCCTGTGTGTGCAGAGTGTTTGGTTCCCAGCCTGTCTGTGGTCATAAGGGACCATGAAGTCACAACAATGGGGTGATGTGCAAGGGTTTTGTTCTGCCCAGCAACTGTATAGATGACCGGGGTTTACCAGCTTTTTGTGTGTTTCATGGGACCAAAAGTGTCAACAATGGGGTGATGTGCAAGGGTTTTTTGTTGCTGCCGAGCCACTGTATAGATGACCTGGGTTGCACAGCATTTTGTGTGTTTCATGGGCGAGCAAGGCGCACGACCCGCAGTTCCAACACCAAAGCTTGCATTCCAGCTGGGAAGCACCTGCAGGTGAACTCACTGTGTTGTCATGAAGCTGTGTGGCTCTGTTCTTTGTGTGTTGCTGCTTGCCGTTGTACGCGCTGTCGTTGGGGCACCAACACGTGTGCCGCTGCGCAGCAGATACAGAATGCTTGCACGGCCTGATGGCCCCCAACCCACGCTTGAGTGATTGTCGCCCGCCTCTTGTGAGGCGTGCCCGTGCCAAGCCCAAAAGAATAGGCAAGGTTGGCGTGCAGGCTTTGAATTTCTTAGGCTGCAGCCGTTTTTGATGTTGTTTGTGCTGCGAAGTCAAGTGTCTCAGGGCTAAGTTTTGGGCATGTTGACAAGCTTGCTTGTGGCTTGTGTTCCAATGCTTTTGGGGCTTCTAGCTTTATCGGTATTAGAGATATTGATACATGCTACCATAGTGTGGACGGGTTGTGTCCCCCTGTGTGTGCAGAGTGTTTGGTTCCCAGCCTGTCTGTGGTCATAAGGGACCATGAAGTCACAACAATGGTGATGTGCAAGGGTTTTGTTCTGCCCAGCAACTGTATAGATGACCGGGGTTTACCAGCTTTTTGTGTGTTTCATGGGACCAAAAGTGTCAACAATGGGGTGATGTGCAAGGGTTTTTGGTTGCCGCCGAGCCGCTGTATAGATGACCTGGGCTGCACAGCATTTTGTGTGTTTCATGGGCGAGCAAGGCGCGCGACCCGCAGTTCCAACACCAAAGCTTGCATTCCAGCTGGGAAGCACCTGCAGGTGATTCCACTGTGTTGTCATGAAGCTGTGTGGCTCTGTTCTTTGTGTGTTGCTGCTTGCCGTTGTACGCGCTGTCGTTGGGGCACCAACAGACTACGCGAGTGTCCGCGCAGAAGTTGTCAAGGCTTATGCGCAACAAGCAGAAGAGATGGCGCGCGCTGGAGGTTCTGCAAGAAACAAGTGCAAGCACGTCTGCCGCTGCGCAGCAGATACAGAATGCTTGCACGGCCTGATGGCCCCCAACCCACGCTTGAGTGATTGTCGCCCGCCTCTTGTGAGGCGGCCCGTGCCAAGCACAAAGGCCAAAAGAATAGGCAAGGTTGGCCTTCAGGCTTTGAATTTCTTAGGCTGCAGCCGTTTTTGATGTTGTATGTGCTGCGAAGTCAAGTGTCTCAGGGCTAAGTTTTGGGCATGTTGACAAGCTTGCTTGTGGCTTGTGTTCCAATGCTTTTGGGGCTTCTAGCTTTATCGGTATTAGAGAGATATTGATACATGCTACCATAGGGTGGACGGGTTGTGTCCCCCCGTGTGTGCAGAGTGTTTGGTTCCCAGCCTGTCTGTGGTCAAAGGGACCATGAAGTCACAACAATGGGGTGATGTGCAAGGGTTTTGTTCTGCCCAGCAACTGTATAGATGACCGGGGTTTACCAGCTTTTTGTGTGTTTCATGGGACCAAAAGTGTCAACAATGGGGTGATGTGCAAGGGTTTTTGGTTGCTGCCGAGCCACTGTATAGATGACCTGGGTTGCACAGCATTTTGTGTGTTTCATGGGCGAGCAAGGCGCACGACCCGCAGTTCCAACACCAAAGCTTGCATTCCAGCTGGGAAGCACCTGCAGGTGATTCCACTGTGTTGTCATGAAGCTGTGTGGCTCTGTTCTTTGTGTGTTGCTGCTTGCCGTTGTACGCGCTGTCGTTGGGGCACCAACAGACTACGCGAGTGTCCGCGCAGAAGTTGTCAAGGCTTATGCGCAACAAGCAGAAGAGATGGCGCGCGCGCTGGAGGTTCTGCAAGAAACAAGTGCAAGCACGTCTGCCGCTGCGCAGCAGATACAGAATGCTTGCACGGCTTGATGGCCCCCAACCCATGCTTGAGTGATTGTCGCCCGCCTCTTGTGAGGCGGCCCGTGCCAAGCACGAAGGCCAAAAGAATAGGCAAGGTTGGCGTGCAGGCTTTGAATTTCTTAGGCTGCAGCCGTTTTTGATGTTGTTTGTGCTGCGAAGTCAAGTGTCTCAGGGCTAAGTTTTGGGCATGTTGACAAGCTTGCTTGTGGCTTGTGTTCCAATGCTTTTGGGGCTTCTAGCTTTATCGGTATTAGAGATATTGATACATGCTACCATAGGGTGGACGGGTTGTGTCCCCCCGTGTGTGCAAAGTGTTTGGTTCCCAGCCTGTCTGTGGTCATAAGGGACCATGAAGTCACAACAATGGGGTGATGTGCAAGGGTTTTGTTCTGCCCAGCAACTGTATAGATGACCGGGGTTTACCAGCTTTTTGTGTGTTTCATGGGACCAAAAGTGTCAACAATGTGGTGATGTGCAAGGGTTTTTTGTTGCTGCCGAGCCACTGTATAGATGACCTGGGTTGCACAGCATTTTGTGTGTTTCATGGGCGAGCAAGGCGCGCGACCCGCAGTTCCAACACCAAAGTTTGCATTCCAGCTGGGAAGCACCTGCAGGTGAACCCACTGTGTTGTCATGAAGCTGTGTGGCTCTGTTCTTTGTGTGTTGCTGCTTGCCGTTGTACGCGCTGTCGTTGGGGCACCAACAGACTACGCGAGTGTCCGCGCAGAAGTTGTCAAGGCTTATGCGCAACAAGCAGAAGAGATGGCGCGCGCGCTGGAGGTTCTGCAACAAAAAAGTGCAAGCACGTCTGCCGCTGCGCAGCAGATACAGAATGCTTGCACGGCCTGATGGCCCCCAACCCATGCTTGAGTGATTGTCGCCCGCCTCTTGTGAGGCGGCCCGTGCCAAGCACGAAGGCCAAAAGAATAGGCAAGGTTGGCGTGCAGGCTTTGAATTTCTTCGGCTGCAGCCGTTTTTGATGTTAAACTTGTGCTGCGAAGTCAAGTGTCTCAGGGCTAAGTTTTGGGCATGTTGACAAGCTTGCTTGTGGCTTGTGTTCCAATGCTTTTGGGGCTTCTAGCTTTATCGGTATTAGAGATATTGATACATGCTATACCATAGGGTGGACGGGTTGTGTCCCCCCGTGTGTGCAGAGTGTTTGGTTCCCAGCCTGTCTGTGGTCAAAAGGGACCATGAAGTCACAACAATGGGGTGATGTGCAAGGGTTTTGTTCTGCCCAGCAACTGTATAGAATGACCGGGGTTTACCAGCTTTTTGTGTGTTTCATGGGACCAAAAGTGTCAACAATGTGGTGATGTGCAAGGGTTTTTTGTTGCTGCCGAGCCACTGTATAGATGACCTGGGTTGCACAGCATTTTGTGTGTTTCATGGGCGAGCAAGGCGCACGCCCCGCAGTTCCAACACCAAAGCTTGCATTCCAGCTGGGAAGCACCTGCAGGTGAACCCACTGTGTTGTCATGAAGCTGTGTGGCTCTGTTCTTTGTGTGTTGCTGCTTGCCATTGTACGCCCTCTTGTTAGGGCACCAACAGACTACGCGAGTGTCCGCGCAGAAGTTGTCAAGGCTTATGCGCAACAAGCAGAAGAGATGGCGCGCGCGCTGGAGGTTCTGCAAGAAACAAGTGCAAGCACGTCTGCCGCTGCGCAGTCGCGTGTCCAAAAAACGTGTCCAAAGTAAAATTGCAAAAACACTCGCTCACTGAACTCTGAATGTGATTCACGACGCAGCATCTTTTTATCACCTTTGCAATTGGGAAATCTCATTGCCGGATCCCGTCGTCGAAAAACGGTAGGGTCAGGCATAAATGGACAGACAACATAGGAAACAACCCTCGCAGAGCGTCCGTTGTATCCTATCTGTGTCTTTATATGCAAAAAGGGTGGGAAAAAACAAAGTTTTTGGGTGGGTAAATCTCGCATTTGCAACTGTTTTGCAAAATGCAAGTCAATACCCTCCTCTCCCTCCCTAACTTGAGGCGTGCGCGGATATACATACATGTATTCCCTGCTCACAAGGTGATTTGGTTGAAAGGTTTTTGTTTGACAAAAACTCACCAAACTGAAAGAGTATAACACAAACAAAGGTTTGACAACCTTCTATGTCTGTGACATCACTGTAAAACAAATGTCAATGACATTCCAGTTTTCACAGGTTCAGATTTAACATTTTGCCAGGTGTCAGTTTGTAACAAATCACACTTTCGTTTTCAAATAAAGGTGTCATCATCGCTTTGCAATGAGTAACCCCTTATTTGACTCTAAGGAAACCAGCTGCGAACCTTTCTCAACACCGGCCAAAACTATTTCACGCATATATGATATCCACGTATAAATATATATACATGTGTCATATACGCCAATACGGAAACGCCGACCTAGAGTCAACCCACTATTAATAGGTTCCCAAACTAAATTCACAAGCAACAGTGTTGCAGCAACACACTTTTCCCTGCATAAAACTTTGCCACACAGGCAAGGCTGCAGCCAGCCCACTGGACAGTGAGCAGACTGCAGCCAGCCCAATCCCAGAACTAGGCACTTGGGCCCTAGCACAAGCCACACATGCCCTCAACTGGGGCGGGCGGGCGGGCGCTTTTCAGCAGCTGCCCTTCCACATAAACCAAGCTGCCACAGCAGCAACTCTGCAGCTGCACTTGAACAAGCAAAACTAACATCAGCAACATGCTCAATTAAACATACCATCATGCCACACACTCAAAGCAATCATACAGGGCAAGGGGAACAATATTTAGTTGGGTTAGTCAGGCGCACTGGCCGTATCCCAGCCCACCCCAGTGCCCCTGGGCCAACCCACTATTAATAGGTTCCCAAACTAAATTCACAAGCAACAGTGTTGCAGCAACACACTTTTCCCTGCATAAAACTTTGCCACACAGGCAAGGCTGCAGCCAGCCCACTGGACAGTGAGCAGACTGCAGCCAGCCCAATCCCCCACTAACAGGTGGCAAATTTTTAGCAGGGCACAAGATCACATTCACCCATTCGAAGAGTGCCCGTTAAACACACGGCTGCCCACACGCAAGAAGGAGCACCTTCTTTTTTCCTGTCACGACCAAGGCGTCTGCAAGACTGCACACACATCAGTCTGCCAACGCAACGCGGGGCAAAAACCCTCAAGCTGGTCACGACTGAGCTCGTCGGCCCAAACATTCCTTTCACCAGCAACATGATGTGGACACAATGCCACACCCAATTTGCAGCACCAAAATCCGGCGGCCTGAAGAACAAATGACAAAGGCTCTGACATGGTCAACTGTTTGCGAGATGCAGATGCGGCCCCTAAATTATCACAGAGCTGATGAAATCAAAAAACTATCTTGTTACCACGTGGGTTCATGCTCTCTGCCCGAGCCAACAACAGCAGCAATTGCGCTAAAGCTTCGAGCGCAGCAATGCATGATTGTAGCTGGACCGACTGCCCATGTCGAAACCAGGCAGGCAAATCGTCCCACGTAATTTGAAAACTGAACCAGCGAACTGTGCATTTGTCGGGATGTGTCCCAGCTTCAAGCCACCATCCACCAAGACCAGCATGCTCCGCTGTGGCATAAGCATCCGCGGCTGCGAACCCTGCATCTAGATCTAGCACTTGCAGGGGTACAGGAACCTGCTCCAACACAGCGTTGTAGAAAAGCTGAGCAGCCCATGCCGAAGATTTGCAAGTTTTGGTTTTCCAGTGACTATACTCATAGAAAACGCATTCCACAGAGCCATGCTTCAAACGCGGTGTTAGCAAAGGCGTCGAAGCCACATCAAACACTGTACTGTTTCCTACAGAATGCAATTTCCAGCCAGCTTTGATATCGCAGTTTGGCACATGCTTGGAGACCCACAAGTCATTCGTCAAGAACCCTTTTTAATTCACCAAAGATACTGCAAGGGATGGATCGAAAAACGCAATGCGGCTTGAAAAGCAACTTGTAGAGACATTGCAACCACGGCTTCAACCAGTATGCTCCCCCGCAATACCAGACAAGCAAACCAATGCATTGCTGCAATTTCGTTTTCTCAACTACAACCCCAGGAACAAGAAGGGTCTTCAACATCGCCAAAAGTTTCTCGCGCTTAACAGTAGGCAAAGCTGCAGCACGCCGCTCCCAGTTGAAATGCCAGCCTATCCATTGTAACGAAAAACCAAGCTCCAACTTCTCATAGCTCAAAGGTACCCCTAAGGCGACCAGAAACATTAACGCAGTGCATGCCACGAGGGGAGCGACTTCTGCAGGAACAAGAAGCAAGCCGTCATCAATGTACAAGAACAAGCCATGGCAAATGTAGATGAACTGATGAAGAAAACGAGTCAGCTGAGCACCTACACGCCCAAACCAATATGCACTCCAACGCGCACCGAAATAGCAAGTTCGATACACATACCAGGTGTCTTCAAACACAAAGGTGCTATACCCCTCTTCTCGTGGGTGCACGCGAACAAGCTTATGCGCCCCCCTGACATCAAAAGAAAGCGCACACAACGCTGTAGACTCTGGCACCAAACTGACAAAGCGCTGCACGCTCTCCAACGATGGTACTCGAATCTTCTCCGAAAGGCGGCACCGCCGATTCGCTCCACTCACTGTCCCATCACCCACCAACCGTGGCTTCTTACCAGGCACCTGCACCACACCTAGCTTACCAGCAGCAATCCGATGACCCCAGCGTTCTCGCGCTTCTGCTTCGCCGCGTTCTAGCTTCATCAAGTGCCCAGCCTGCACATCTTTATCCAACAGTTGCCTAGTTATGTCAGCTGCAGAAGACGCTGAAGCCCAAGGCAACGTGTGAACTTCCAAATCTGCTTCGTCAAAATTGGCTTCAAGATCAACAAGATCCCAAATACCCGAGGCAGGAATCGGAGTCTCAATACCTGTACTAACCCCAATAGATAACGTATCTGGAAGATTCACATCTTTATCATGCAACAGTTGAGCCAAAGCTTTCCATGCTTCCAGAAGAAAAGGCTGATGAGGAGCCACCTGAGAAGTACAAGGAAAACCAGCATCGTTCAAAAAATCCACCAAAGCTGCGCGTAGCAAAACGCTTTCTGATGGGGAAAACAGCGGCTCAGAACAATGCACTGCCACATGATCCCGCAAACGCTGCACCACACTCCACTTTGAAACCAACCCCTCAAAGGTTTTGCGCAAACCACGCAAAAGATCAACATTGGCTCGGGGCCGAAGCCAGTCAGCAGAAGAACCTTGGCCACCTCCATCTGTAATAGGTACAGTTGCAGACAGCCCATGGGCAACTAGCCCACTGCACTTGGCCTCAACCGACAACGATCCTGACATACAAGCCAAGGGAGGCTTCACATCAGCCTCTCCTGGCAACACAGCACCACCCCTACAACCCTCGCCTGACATGGCAGGCTTCTTATCAACGACAACAATATCATTGTGACTGCAATCCACTGATAGTCAAGAGCTCTTGGGGCAATCTTTGGAACTGTGCGCTGAGTCCCCACAAATGGCACACGCATGTGGGAATCGACACTGCATTCGCTTGCATTTTCCAGCAGCCCAATCAAAGCACTCACCCACTTTGCCACGCTTTTTGGTTGATGCATCTCTCGGCAACGGCTGTGGCAGCTTCCTTTTCTTGGGCCCTTCTTTGACATGATCTTCCGCCCCCGACTTACCCATAAGGCGAGGCCGTGGGTTCAAATGATGCCTGAAGAAGTCCTCACGGACTACCGAAGCAAGGGCATCATCCAAGGTCACACCATCCCGATGCACTTGGCGAAACACTTCACTAAGCACTTCGCGGTCCGCTTCTTCCGCCTCTTGGGGCGAAGGCCCGCGCCATCCACTGCCAGGACGCCGAGAATAATGCAAGATGAAGCGGTGGACATAGTTCGACCAATTGTGCAAGTGACCACCGCCACAGAGAGTGTACGCATGTGCTCGCGTGCTCAACAACTGGAAGATCCGATGGGGCGAACCCGACAACTCAAGATCCAATTCTTCACTGCACAAGCCGGCAGCCTCAGCCACTAATTCGGCAAAATCTCTGCGCTTCACACTGGCTTTGCGACCTTGCATATCTAGCAAAGCCGCCTCGGATAGCACACGACGCCAAGGCACCCAGGCCCAAGCCTTTTGTTGGCACTGGTGCTGAATGCAATGAAGGAACTGAAGAGCAGGTATGGTTTCAGGAACCAATGCAACACCAGGGTAATTCGTCTCAAACAAGCGAATCAACTTCTCGCGCTCACCCACATCCAATTTGCTCTGGGTCCCAAAAGGCATCAAAGCCAAAGAAGCCGGAGGCTCCTTTGCAGGTGGTGTGGCCTCCAAAGGTAAAGGCGAAGGCGACAAATGCTTCCACAGAGCACGAAGATTGCCACACATGGCCGATGAAAGCCATTCGTCATCTGGCAAGACGCAGGCTGAAGCAACCTTCGCGTTGATGCATGGCTAATTCATGTGGGCAGATTGTGGAGCTTAACTGTGAGCGTGTGGGTTGGCCCCTTGTGTGAAATTGCACATTGTTGATTTGTTAAGGTTCCTGACAGTGTGAGCTGAGAAGTAGTTCCCCTGTGTATGGTGCACTTGGATAGTGTTATCTTGTGGATTGGCTAGCCCTTGCCTGGTGGTTAGATTTCTTTTCTTGTGTTTTGCTGCGATGTTGCGTGAGCGACACCAGGTGGGTTTAGGCCCTTATTATGCGCGTGCTGGAACTGCGCCTCCTTGTCCTGGCCCCTCCCGCACTGTCGTGAGTCAGCGGGGGTCGGGCCTGGCTGCTCCAGTGATTGGCGTGAAGCCGGACACTTGGTCTTCATGGCCGAAGTTGTCAAATGCTATGCCCCGTGGAGGAGTTGATTTAGTTGAACATCATGCAGTTCAAGGATCAGGTTCTTCCAGAGTTGGTCCTATCATTGGGATTGGTTCAGGCCGTCATGCTGAGGAGTTAGAGCTTCAGAAATGGTGTGATGCATGGATTGCAACTTTGACACCGTTTATCTCACAGGCTCCTGCGTTTGCGGAACTAGGCTTCTTGGCGCAGTCGTCCTTAGATCGAGTTCTACATCAAAAGGCAGCTTCAACTTTGCGCCGCCATCTGCCAAGTTGGCGGCTTTGGAGTCAATTTGCGTTACATCAAAATTGGCCAGTGTATGATCCTCCTTTGATTGACTTGGTTGCATTTATTCAGGCATTGGTGGCAAACGGCAAGTGTTTGGGTGGTGCAAAGTCTTCCCTTTGTTCTTTGAAGTTTGTTGCATCCCTCATGGGGTGGAAAGCTTGGCTCGACACGTTGGCGCACCCAGTGATTCTAGCTTGGTGTGAGTCACCAGCCACAGGAGTACCTTGTAAAGAAGCTCTTCCCCTTCCCCTTTTTGTGGTTGCTGCCTTTGAAGCGCAAGTCCATGAAGATCTAGCTACGTCGGTGACTCAAAATACGTTGGCTTTAGTTGTCTTTTTGATGATGGTATGGGGCGCTCTGCGTTTTAGTGACATTCAAAGAATTGATGTCAGTTCCATCTTTCTCGAGCGAGGAGTTGTGCGGGGACGTTGCTATCGAACAAAATCTGCTCGGGATGGTATGCCCTTTGGTATATTGACCCTTGGGCTCTACGCTGCTTGGGATGATGGCGTTTTACAACTTTGCAATGCTATGCGGCAGTGTGATTTTCTTTTAACTGGCCCTGGGGGTGCACGCGCGAACTTTGCCTATGCACTAGGTCTTCTTCGCAAACTTTTGGTTTCGGTTGGGGGTGTGTTACCTGAGCAAGCATGTAACTACACGTTACGTAGCCTTAAGACCACTGGCTTGTCTTGGGCCCTGCAGCTTGATGTTGATCAACGTCGGTTGTGGGGCCATCATCGTGGAAGGGATTCTGGAACAAAGATGGCGAGCAAATATAGCCGCGATGATGTGTTGCCAGCTCTGCGGGCTCAGTTGCATGTGCTACACCATGTTCGTCAGGGTTGGGTTCCCCTAACACCCCAAGCTAGAGGATCTTCGCCGCCTGCCGCAGAAACAGTGCCTGCGCAGCCGTTGCCATTGTTATCTTGGATACCTAGTGGTTTGCAAGTGCCCGCTTACCAGGTTATGTGCAATGCTGACAATGGTTCAGAAACCGAAGATGATTCGGAGTCAAGTTCTTCTTCGTCTTTGTCAAGCGACTCTGACTCTGATGAGGCTTCTGTGATTCAGGTGTCGACGCAGCCTTTGACAGCAGGAGTTTTTGTGGTAAATACTTCCACTTGTTTTTATCACGCAGCAATTTGCCTTGGAACTGATGAATTTGCTCGAGCTTGCGCTCCACGGCAAGTTCTGCGCCCACCGAGGTGGGAGGTATGGCATTCCAGTCCAGCAGATAGTGAAGAGATTTATTTGCCTTGTGCTCATCCTGCTTGTGCAGCTGCGGTGTGATGTCCTTGTGGCCATGTCCACTGGTGTGATTGCTTACTGTCCATTACGCGGACAGTGTGCCAGCTTTAGTGCCCGGATGGCGTAGGTGGTGTTAATTTACAGGCTGCTTTGGTCATTGTTGGTCGCTGCGTTGCGTCCGAGTGGCGCAGGTTGAGCTGTGGTATGCTCAGTGGGGTGCGTCCGAGTGGCGCAGGTTGAGCCGTGGTGTGCTCAGTGGGGTGCGTCCGAGTGGCGCAGGTTGAGCTGTGGTATGCTCAGTGGGGTGCGTCCGAGTGGTGCAGGTTGAGCCGTGGTGTGCTCAGTGGGGTGCGTCCGAGTGGCGCAGGTTGAGCCGTGGTGTGCTCAGTGGGGTGCGTCCGAGTGGCGCAGGTTGAGCCGTGGTGTGCTCATTGGGTGCGTCCGAGTGGCGCAGGTTGAGCTGTGGTGGGCTCTGTAGGAGTTATCCTAGGAGGCAAACAGTTTGTGGTAAGATTATTTGCTGTGCATCAGGGCATGCTTCATTGAGTCATAGATTGAATTTTGCGTATGCCTGGCGCGGATGTCGCCTTTTGTGTCCAAAGTGATGGAAGGTTGCATGTAAAGTTTTCATATTCGGCTTTTCCTTCTTGTGCTATAGCGAACATAGATCGTGTGTGCTGTACTTGCAAGAGATTACTCTCGCTTGATTCACATTTCATTTGATTGTGTTTTGCTCATGACGGCAATGGACTGCACAGAGACTTTCCAATCCTTGTGCGCCAAGATTGGGGTAGTTGATCCGATTATAAAAGCCTTGGAGTCCCGCGGATTTACAACCCCAGCAAAATTCTTTTGGCCATTGAAAGAAGGCTCCGAGGAGACTTTTGGTGCAATTTTAGATGAAGCACAGATAGACATCAAGGCAGCTGCATCCATGCTTCAGTCTGCAGAAGCCGGGTGTTTGCGCCGGCTTTTGCATGAGTGCCGCACAATCTGCGATGGCCCGCCAAGTGTAGCAGCACAGGCAGCACCTGCCGTACCTGCCAAAGTATCTTCCAATCTGTTTGGCTTCGATGTTGGCCCGCGACTCACAAGTGATGCTCTGCAAAAATTGTGGTCGGATTTCACGAAAAATTATCCGGCAGAAGTGATCGTGGGCGATACCAGACCTTGCAAGGCGTTGGTTCAGATGGTCTTTGCGCAAAAAGCGGCCAATGAGCTCCGTTTCATTCCATGGCGGCAGATTCTCAGTGAAGCGCAAGCGGATCGCGCCAAACAAGCGGGGAACAAGGAGAAGACCTTTCTTGATGTGCTGGCTGATGCTGCGGGACATGTCAACGCATTGGAGCAAGACCCGTCGCCGCCTTCTCATTGTGGTGTTCAGCGTTTGCTTTTATTACGTTCAGTAGCATGGGCATTCGTAGGTTGGTGCCACCTTGGTGCAGGTCGACGATTGGTGCAGGCATTCATGGGGCTGTATGCCGCTCCTGGTTTGGGGTCACTGGGTCTTCGATCCCCAACTCTGGCCGAAGCAGAACATGAAGATGGCGAATTGCGTCGTCAACTCAATGCCTTACTGAGTGATGGATTCCATTTTGATTCCGCTCTTCATGAAGTGGTGGTGGTGCGCCACAGCTTGCAAATGTGGCTGCAACCCAAACCCAAGGTGGTCAATGCAGAATCGGTGATCAGTGCCAAGGGGCCCAAGCGCACCTTGCCGCAGCCGCTTGTTGATGCCAAGAGGCCACGAGGCAGGCACGGAAAAGGGGGGGTGTCTGAAGCCCCACATCAAAAAGGGAAGCCGCCTTGTTTCGCTTTCAAACAGCATGGCAAATGTTCTTTTGGTGACGCTTGCAAATTTGATCATAGTGCCGTGGAGTGACTATTTGCCGGCCCAGCAAAAAGTTCGGTGGTGGATGCGAGCAATGATTCTTGCGAGTTGCCTGCGTTGACGCCCCATGAGGTGGTAGCCCCTTCGCCCCACGCCGCGCCGGTATCAATGGCCGCGCCTTTTCCCATCGCTGACGGGGGAGGATGCGCTTCTTCTGCAGATTGGTTAATTCCACGTGCTGATTCTGATGTGCTGCGTGAGCTTCGGAGACATTTTCAATCTTTAGTTGTTTCCTGGGGGGTTGTCGAGCGGCTTCAAGCCCATTCGCAGCACCCAAATGCAAATGGCTTGTTTTCTCCTGAGGAAGTACATCAAGCTCAGCGCGATCTGGTATCCTTTTTGCGGAACAAGGGGTTTGATTGTTCAACAAAGGTGTCTCCTTATCAACCCTTTTTGCTTGAGGCGTGGTCTGCATTAGCTGCTTGTTTCGATGACAAGGATGCCTTGCTTCCCCCACTTTTGGAGCGCGGTGTACCCACAGGTGTAGTCTCTCCAATTCCATTTTCAGGTATTTGGGAGCCGTCTGAGCCTGCCCCTAACCTTGGTTTAGATGACCTGTCAATTCATTTACAGCCTTGGCGCAGTGGTTTAGACCGTGAAGACCTTACTCTGGAGCTAATGCTGAAGGATGTGGCAGCAAGTCATGCCTATGAACTGATTGGAGGGGAGGCGGAAGCGCGACAGCGGTGGGGTGATCTGGTTGCCGCGGGCAAGTTAGGAATAGCACAGCCACCTGGAAAGAAACCACGTCTCATCGGGGATGGGACGATTTCGGGAGCAAACCATCATTGTGTCATTGAGGAGAAGGTGCGCCTACCAACCTTTGAGAGCGTCCAGCGCTTCATGTCATTATCTGGTCCCGATGTTCAATGGGGGGCTTTGAGTTTTGATGTGAGAGGGGCACATAAATTGGTCAATGTGTCTCCTGCTGAACAGGGCCTTTCCTGCTTCGTTGTCCAAGGTCGTTGGTTCGTCTACAGGTCTTGCTATTTTGGATGTCGTTGGGCGGCCTATTGGTTTTCAAGAGCGGGTGCATTCTTGGTCCGTCATTGTCATCGCTTTCTTTGGGTCCAACATGGTCTATTCATCTACGTCGATGACGGTTTGGCCTTTTTCCCACATAGTCTGCCCAATCTTGTCAGCAACTCTGCTCTTGTTTCTCGCTGCTCTAGGAGTTCCGCTGTCGTGGGAGAAGGTGCGTATGGGAGGTCTACAGCCGTGGATTGGTTGGTCTTTTCATTGGGGTCGTGGCTTTGCGGAACTACCAGACAACAAGCGACAAACCTTGTTAGGATTGCTCACGGAACTGACAACACCCGGTCGCAAGGTACCCCGCAAGACTGTGGAGCGCTGCATAGGCATGTTGGTGTGGTTCTGTGGTGGGGCCTACTGGTTGAAACCATGGCTGCAGAGTATATATCATTTATTGTTTAAACCTGCATGCGTATTTCGCTCTGTGTCTAGTGGGCAGTGTGGTGCTCTTCTTGGGGCCCTTACGAACAAACTTGTTGTTTCTTGAGATTTGATGGATTGCGATATTCTGCATGGTTGGAAACTTCATTCTGTTTGGAACTGCCCAGTTGATTCACTTGACAGTGAGCCGTTGCGAACTCCCCGTATTCGTCAGGGAATGATCAGCTGTGTTTTTTACAACTATTCAAGCCCCACTATTCAATGTAACCGAGCCGCAGCATGGGCTGCCCAGCTTTTCTTGAGGGCAGTGGAAAACCAAGTTCGCATTCCTTTGCGCGTTTTGGAGCCCGGGCGTGTGCGGAGTGCAGCTGACGCATTTGCAACAGGACAGCGTGCAGGTGTAGGAGGTTGGTGGGCTGTCTCCGAAGATGCGCTGCAACAGTCGAAGGTGTTTTGGTTTAGTGAGATGCTAGACTCGACGTCTTTGCTTTCCTGGTTGTGTGCGAAAGAGACTTTGCAGCAGGATATTGCTTCCTTTGAAGGCGTTGCGCAGCTATGTTTGCTTGTTGGACGGACAGCAGGTCAGGTTCCACCACCTGGTGTGACGCTGCGTTTCCACCAGCTTTGCGACAACATGGGCACTGCCGCCAGCTTGCGGAAGAAATTGTCTATGCAAGTGCCGTTGTCTTATGTTTTGCAGGCCGTGGGCTTTCATTGCTGCAGATTAGGCATTTGTTTAGATCCCCAGCATGTGGCTGGTGTTCGAAATCAATGGGCCCACAACCTCAGCCGGAATTGCCTAGAAGGCTTTGATCCCGGTCGACGCGTTCGACTGAATGTTCGAGAGTTGTTGGAGGAGCCTTGGTGTCGCTTTTCTTGACGGAGTGGTAACCACCTTATCAGTAGGGGTGCTTGATGAATTCTGGCGAAGGGGCTGGTGAGGTGGGGCTGCTGCTGGGCTGCCACCCAGCAGTGGTCCCACCTGGATTCATCTGCGCATTGAAAAGTGAGTGCTTGGCCAGAGTGCCTGTGGGTGGTTACTTAGGTTTTATCTAGCAAGTAAATTTTGTAGAGGTACTGCATTCTTGAGAGCTTGCACTAAAGAATAGATCCCTCTCTAAATTTACCTTGCCTTGTAGGTGTTGATGCATGGCTAGTTCATGTAGGCAGATTGTGGAGCTTAACTGTGAGCGTGTGGGTTGGCCCCTTGTGTGAAATTGCACATTGTTGATTTGTTAAGGTTCCTGACAGTGTGAGCTGAGAAGTAGTTCCCCTGTGTATGGTGCACTTGGATAGTGTTATCTTGTGGATTGGCTGGCCCTTGCCTGGTGGTTAGATTTCTTTTCCCCCCCACCCACCGCCAAAGAAATTTGGATCTAGTTTCAGCTTCTACTAGCTGGTTTTTTGACAGGCACGTGTTGCCCCAGTGTCAGGAAACTCTCGATCCAGGTATGATGGCAGAGATCTGCATGAATTATAGAAGAATTGAGAAAATTCATGGTTTGCCTGCTTGAGCCCATGTGCTCATAGCCCAAGAGGGCTGGTGAGGTGGGGCTGCTGCTGGGCTGCCACCCAGCACCTGGATTCATCTGCGCATTGAAAAGTGAGTGCTTGGCCAGAGTGCCTGTGGGTGGTTACTTGGGTTTTATCTAGCAAGTAAATTTTGTAGAGGGAAGAAGGTTAAATTGGGGGACGAGCTAGTTTGGATCGGATGGCGTTTTTGCTTTTCATCTGGTTACATACAGTTAACGGATGACAAGTCGCAGAAAATTCTGGAAGCGTTGAGCCCTTTTTGCACCATTGGACAGAAGGTGGACCGCAAAGCTGTTGAACGTCTTATTGGTCTTTTGCTATGGTACTCGGGTGGTGCTGTGCATCTGCGGCCTTGGCTACAAGCTCTGTATCATCTGCTGTATAAACCACGCTGCGTATTCAGATCAGTTACCCCCCATCAGTTTGAGGTGCTGCGTCAACTGATGGACACGAAGTTAGCTTTGACAGGTCACATGGAATGCTGCGATCTACAGCAAGGATGGGTGTTGCATGCTGTCGCCAACTGCGCCGTGTCTTCATTGGGTGCGGATGCCTTAGTGTCTCCACGTTTGAAGCGAGGACAGGTAGATTGTGTTTTCTACAGCTACAGCAGTGTTTCTGTCCGTACAAATTTGGCATCCATGTGGGCATGCAAGCTTTTTTATAATGCTGTGGCTAAGCATCAGTCTATCCCCTTAAGACGTATTGAAGAGTCGTTCATACCTTGCGCAGCAGATGCATTTGCAACCACATCAGTTGCTGGTGTGGGTGGCTGGTGGGCGCCTACTGCAGAGAGTGCGCGCCAAGATCAAGTTTTTTGGTTCAGCATTTCTTTGGGCAAGTGGAACTTGCCGGAATGGCTCATTTGTGAGAAGCTTCAATCCTACATAGCTTCATTCGAAGCTCTGGGGCAGCTTTTGCTCTTGCTAGGGCGTGTGCGTGGGATCAAGTCTCCGGCTCATCATGTGTTGCTTATGAGGCAGTTGTGCGACAATGCTGCCGTGGCCGCATCGACGCAGAAGATGCTATCATTGAAGGCACCTCTTGCTTTTGTGTTACAGGCCATCAGTTATCATGCAGTGGCACACGGTGTGCAGCTCACCTCTGCACATTGCGCGGGAGAGCGCAATGGCTGGGCGGATGACCTCAGCCGTGGAAAGGTGTCAGGTTTTAACCCTTTGCTTCGGGTAGAATTGATCTTATGGAGATTTTGGCTGAGCCTTGGGCTTTTTGTGGGGCACTCTTGAGTGGGGATTGCTATTGGTGCCCCCTTTTTTCCAGCAGGCTGCCACCTTGCAGTCCGTGCTTGTAGACATTGCGATGCACAGTCAGGTTGGCGCGTGTTGGAGTTAGCTGGCTCGGGCGTCCGATCTGCCAACGATGTGTTGTCACCCCCGCTAAAGCAAGGCCGTGTCTGGGTGAAATTTGGAGAGCCAGAGCCAAAAATCATCAAGTTCAGCCAAGAGGAGTTAGCTGTGGCACGTTTTTTCAAACGCCTGCTCGCATGTCCAGATCCCATCCCGCTGGTGGAGAAACCGGGCCCAGTATCAGTAGCAGCTGCAGATGCTTTTGCTGAGGATGGTCGGTTCGGCATTGGAGGCTGGTTTTTGCTACCAGGTGCTGCGCTACACCCATCCAACATTTATTATTTCACATATCAGCTTCAACACGGTGAATTGCCAAGATGGTTCACCAGACCAGGCAAGGATTTGCAGGCTTATATCGCGGTGTTAGAGGCTTTGGCACAGCTAGTCTTGTTGGATTGCCAGCGACGAGTGATTCAGATGCACAGCAGTTTTGCTTGGATTAGCTTGCGTCAGTTTTGCGACAACGCCGGGGTGCAGAAGGGCCTATCTTTGCGCCAGCCGCTTGCTGGTGTGCTTCAATCTACAGCACTATATGCAGCTGAGCATCGCCTGCAGCTGAAAATTACTCGTGTAGCAGGGGAGAGAAATGTCTGGGCTGACGCATTGTCCCGCGGGGCAAGTGTGAACCCTGAGTTCTGGCGGGATTTGGATATCAGCCTGATTGGCATCATTTGTTGAACTTGTCTGCATTTCTTGGCGCCAAGACGACGCAGTGATGCCCAGAAAGTCTCTACGGCCGTCGGGAAGGATTCCCTTGTTCTTTATTTTGGGCATGCGCCCCTTGTACGCTTTCCGGCAAACTGTTTTGCCAACATTTCTCGTCCGCGCTGACGTTTGGGAAGCGTTTGGAAGCCGACGGCATTGGCGACGGCTGGTGCTTTGGGGTGATTCAGCCAGGTGCCAGGCCCAGGGTGCCCTGTGGCCTGGCACCTGAGCCAACATAACTTTTGTCGCCAATGCCGCGTGTGATTGGGCTGGGAACCCTGCTTAAGTCTTTAGGTTTTGGGAAAAGTTTGTTGGGGTTAAGATGGAAGCTGTGGGGTGTTTGAGTGATAGTGAGTGAGTGAGTGGGTGAGTGAGTGAGTGTGAGTGAGTGTGAGTGAGTGAGTGAGAGTGAGTGAGTGAGTGTGAGTGAGTGTGAGTGAGTGAGTGTGAGTGAGTGTGAGTGAGTGAGTGTGAGTGAGTGTGAGTGAGTGAGTGAGGTGAGTGAGTGTGAGTGAGTGAGAGTGAGTGAGTGTGAGTGTGAGTGAGTGAGTGTGAGTGAGTGAGTGTGAGTGAGTGAGTGTGAGTGAGTTTGAGTGAGTGAGTGAGGTGAGTGAGTGTGAGTGAGTGAGTGTGAGTGAGTGGGTGTGAGTGAGTGAGTGTGAGTGAGTGTGAGTGAGTGAGTGTAAGTGAGTGAGTGAGGTGAGTGAGTGAGTGTGAGTGAGTTTGAGTGAGTTTGAGTGAGTGAGTGAGTGAGTGTGAGTGAGTGTGAGTGAGTGGGTGAGTGAGTGTTTGTGAGTGAATGAGTGAAAGAGGAGGACGGGAGGGGGAGGAGGAAGGCGAATGCAGAACTAAAAGAAAAATGCTATATGTCAATGGGGGGAACAAACCACATCTAAACGAAATGCACGTAACAACTGAAATAAACGCAAAATAACTGGATGATCCTATCTGACAATTTGGTGGTCTCTGATGAGCCCTGCTCTGACTGCATCATTATTTAAATAACACACAACTTGAACTTTATCACGAAAGCGTCAGCTAGCTGGAGTCTTCTTGCTTTAGCAAGTATTCCGGGGGCTGCTCAAGGACAGCACGTGATTTTTCACGCGAAAGGGGGGGACCCCCCCACCACCACCACCATCACCACCACCACCACCACCATCACCATCACCATCACCATCATCATCATCATCATCACATCATCATATCACCATTATCATCATCTTCATCGTCATCCTCATCGTCATCATCATCGTCATCATCATCATCATCATCATCATCGTTATCATCATCATCATCATCATCATCATCACCATCACCATCATCATCGTTATCATCATCATCATCATCATCACCATCACCATCATCATCGTCATCATCGTCATCGTCGTCATCCTCGTCATCATCATCATCATCATCGTCATCATCATCATCGTCATCATCATCATCATCATCGATATTCACTTACATTTCATCATTATTGGCAATTGTTGGCATTATCACGAAAGGTAGCGTCAGCTCGCTAGAGTCTTCTTGCTTTAGCAAGTATTCCGGGGCTCCCCAAGATCAGCACGTGATTTTTCACGCGAAAGGGCCCCCCCTGCCCCCTCCCCCATATATATCATTGTTATATATCATATATCATATATTATTGTTGCATCCTCGTTGGGACGAACAATGCCGCGACACGATGATGACAGTCCCTCCGCAACTCACCTCTTCCCTTCTTTCTCCTACCCCGCTAGCTTTCGTCATCCACCCCCGGCCTCAAATTTAACCAGGAGCCCCACAACATATAAGAATGAATAGAGGCAATAATTTAGCTTCGTAATTATATGGGATATGAAGATATATGATTTTAAAAAAAATCATTCGGCAAATTATTTCTAAATATTACAACGACACGTCCTGTAGGGCTAACCAGGACACCTCCGACCGAGGAGCCTTTCTTACAAGCCCCGTCCGTAAAAATAATCCATAAATCAGGATTTTTTTCGAAATTTCAACAGGTGTACTACCCTCAGCACGGAGCAAGAGCCTGTTCAAAGCAACTTGCAATTCGTCCTCTAAAGGGCGAGAGGCTTTGGAGCCTGAAATGCATTTTCCTAAACAAAACACAAGGAAATTGGCTTACCTCCCACATACAAAATTTTCAAACCACATGAGTCGTTTCCGGAGCCTTTCCACAATTTTGGTGTTATAGTGCCCATTCAGACACATCTCTTTCAAATTTCAGCTAGCTCCAGGCGAGATTCTGTGTGTCCCACGAAAATCA